CATATGATCCAGCTATCCCGCTCCTTGGAACATATCCTAGAAAAAAAAGAGCCGTCACATGAATAGATATGTGCACACCCATGTTCACTGCAGCACTGTTCACAATAGTAAAAAGATGGAAATAATCTAGGTGCCCATCAACGGACGAATGGATAAATAAATTATGGTATATCCACACAATGGAATACTACACAAGGATAAAGAACAATGATGAAGCCATGAAACATCTTATAACATGGAAGAAGCTGGAACTTATTATGCTGAGTGAATTTAGTTAGTCACAGAACAAATACTGTGTAAGACCACTACTATCAGAACTCAAGAAAAGGTTTAAACACAGAAGAAAACATTCTTTGATGGGTACGAGGGTGCGGAGGGAGGCTGACGGTTATTTACTAACTAGATAGTAGATAAGAATTATCTTAGGTGAAGGAAGGACAGCACATACTACACGGGAAGTCAGCACAACTGGACTAAACCAAAGCTAAGAAGTTTCCTAATACAATCAATCACTTTGAGGGACAGAGTAGCAGGGGTAGGGGTCTGGGGACCATGCTTTCAGGGGACATCTAGGTCAACTGGCGTAACATAGCTTATTAAGAAAATGTTCTGCATCCTACTTTCATAAGTGGCGTCTGTGGTCTTAAAAGCTTGCAACCAGCCATCTAAGATGCATCAATTGTTCCCAACCACCTGGGGTAAAGGAGAATGAAGAACACCAAAGACACAGAAAGGGCCATATAAACCAGAGACTTCATTAGCCTGGGACCAGAAGAACTAGATGGTGCCCGGCTACCACCAATGACTGCCCTGACAGGGAACACAACAGAGTCCCAGATGGAGCAGGAGAAAGGTGGACTGCAGGACTCAAATTCTAATAAGAAGACCAGAGTTAATGGTCTGACTGAGACTGGAGGGACCCTGGAAAGCATGGCCCCTGGATTCTCTATCAGCACAGGACTAAAACAATTTCCAAGGCCAACTGTTCTGACGGATTGGACTGGACTGTTGGACATACAGTGATACTCATGAGGAGTGTGCCTCTTAGCTCAAGTAGATACAAGAGCCTAAACGGTCAGCTTCTGTACAGAGGTGAGATGGGAAGGCAGAGAGGATTAGGAGCTGGTTGAATAGACATGGGGAATCGGGGCTGGAAACGAGGAGTGTGCTGTCACGGTACAGGGAGAGCAATTAGAGTCACATAACAATATATGTACAAATTTTTGTATGGGAAAAAATTTAAAAAAAGAGATAAGAAAACATGGCAAATGTTTATCCTTTAATAAGCACGTCTAAACAAAAATTATTTGGATTTATGGTCTTTTCATGTGATTTACTGCAGATATGTATACAGAATTTCCTTAAATATCACTCTGATCCTAAGGATTATTAATAGCATATTTTCAAGGAAACAAACAGCTATAGTGCTCTCTTGACCACCTAAAATCTTTCTGATACAGGCATGTTAAAACCCAATGGAATATGGAATAACGATATTACTGAAAATCTTTCATAATATCTACTAAACTAACTTGTTATATTCTTCATTCTGAAAAAAAAAAAACAAAAAAACCGTAAAACTCACTGGATAAAGGAAGCCACCGAAACAAAGGATACCTAATGAGAATCCCATTTGTAGAAATTTCTTTAAAAAACCGACTTTCATTATAGATAATTTTATTGTCTACTAATGTCTTTCTCTACTTCTGACTCTTAATCTAAAGGTTAATTCCCCAAAGTAACAGATTTTAATTTTTCAAACAGGCCAAATTTGGAAATGTCTGAAAAGTCACTCATCTGATAAAAATTCACTTTCTTGTGCAAATTCTTTCATTCACTTTTACTCACCTGTTCTCGTATTGAAATTTCGCCAATATGTCTTTGGCTTTGGTTTGACTATTGAGTTGAATGGCCATGGATACCTTAGAGAGAAGTGGAGCATGGACCCTTATGACTCCCTCAGGTACGTCAGACTGCCAATGAGAAAAAATGAAGTACATTCTGTCAAGTTAGGATGGACATCAGTGCAATGGTGGCATTTAAGGGACATCATGAGAATCAGAGGCAATGAATCAAGAAAACCTGTAAATATAACCAGTATTTAACTCGAATAAAACACTGCTTTCTTTTCCACTGGGAGACTCACTAATATCTAAAATTAACCTGGGATTTTACTTTTGTAACATGCTTAGGTGTGACTCTAATGCCTTAAAGCCATGAGAGAAGTAAAATTGGATCATGATGAAAATATTTCTATCAACAAATTTCCTTAGACAATGTCCTGAATATGCCTGCTTTAAGCAGAAATCTGTACTTCTGTATATATTGAGGTCAACCTTCTGAAAATTTTAAGGATCAATTAGAAAATATAGCTTCTTAAATATATCCTTTCTTTAATTAGCAGCCATTAATGACCAGCCCACGTTTTTTGGGGTGATGAAAATGTTCTGTGATTAGACAGCGGTGATTATTGTACAACACTGTATCTTTTGTTTTGGAGGCTTCATTTACTCGATGAGTTTTACTTTTTAGAATGAAGACTATATGGGAACTTGAAATCTGACTCCTCCAGGTGTGCTGATGACGCTGTGATGACAGAGCAGAATGTGGGCATGTTCTGAGTGTCAATGATGTGACTGACCTGGGCCTGGGGACCTCACAGCTCTAATCTAAATGGAATACTCAAAGAACAAACCAGTTGCCATCAAGTCAGCTATGACTCATGGTGATCCCACATGTATCAGAGTATAACTGTGTTCCATAGGGTTGTCAATGGCTGATTTTTCAGAAGTAGACTGCCACGCTTTCCTTTGGAGGTGGCCCATGGGTGGACTCGAACCTCCAACCCTTTGGTTAGCAGCCAAGCATGTTAACGATTTGCACCAACCAGGGACTCCTGTTCAAAGAATAGTGCTGTCTAATTAATAGAAGTTTCTGATTTGCCAGGATTAACTGGAAAATGCCTTATGTTTCAAAATTTGAATGATTTAAAAATTGATCTTCTATTTAGAAGATGAACAGAAATAAATTTTACTTGTTTGAGGACCTGGCTAGTCCTCAGATAATTGTTTTAAACCTGTAAATTCTTAAAGGATGGCACTGTCCGTGTAGAAGGTTTATTTGAGTTGACTCAATACACACCCTGGAAAAAATATTTTAAAATAAGGTCAGTACTTGTAGGACCTTCTTATTATTACCAGCAAGAACCAGAGAGCATTCCAGGGAATGGATAATGAGGGTTTTGGACTTGGGAGGTAGATAGAGTGCACCCAGCTAACTGAAGTCATAATTGCACTCCTACAATACTCATTTGATCATCTCACATCCCTCCCCTTCCAGATTGCCTGAAGACTCTGCAAGATAAATACCATACTCCTGACATTACTGGACCTATGATCATAATAATCACAGTTCCCTATAACTTCCTATAGGATTCACTTATGTATGAACTGCCTAACCACATCATTTTGAATGATCATTTAGTAGACTCCCTATACCATTCCTTCATGTGTCACATTAAAAATTTCAGGTTTGACCAAAATTACACATGTATATGCTTGATGCAGACAGAGAATACTACACAGGCAGTTAATACAGAAAAAAGGAAATTATTTGTGTTCTTACCACTCTTCTTGAAGAGGGTGATTTCTGTAGTATTTTTGCAGTCTTAGGGCTTGTCACCTAAAGAAAAAACATTTAGTTTTAACATCAATGTTGAGAAAACAAGCATATATGATGCTGTTGTGTGAGAAGGGAGAACACGGATTCGTATTTGCCTGTATATGCACAGAGCATCTCTGAAGTCTACACACCTGCACGTGGTTTTGCACAAACGCCCTGTTGTTGGAGAGATTATTTGTCTCCCAGAGGGAAAGTCAGAGGTACCAATTTTTAGTCTATAGTCTTTTGTACCTTTTGAATTTTGTACCCTGTTAATGAACTGTCTATTTCAACAAAATTAAGAATTAAAAAAAAAAAAATGTTACAAAGACTTGAATAGACATTTCTCAAAGAGGACGTACAAATGACCAATAAGCACATGAAAAGATGATCAATGTCATTAGTCATTAGGGAAATGTAAATCAAAACCACACTGAGACACCATTTCAAACTCATTAGGATGACTCTTATCAGGAAAACAAAAAACAACAATCTTGGTGAGGATGTGGAGCAAATTAGAACTTTCATCCATTGTTGGTAGGAATGTAAAACGGTACAGCCACTGTGAAAAACAGCTTGGTAGTTCCTTAAAAAGTTAAACATAGAATTACCATATGACCCAGAGGACTTGAAAGTAGGGACTCAGATACTTATACACCTATGTTCACTGCAGCATTATTCACAATAGCCAAAACGTAGAAACAACCCGTGTCCATCAACAAATAAATGTATAAACAAAATGTGGTATTTAAGTACAATGGAATATTATTCAGCCATAAAGAGAAATGAAGTTCTGATACATGCTATGACATGGATGAACCTTGAAAACATTAAGTGAAATCTGTCAGACACAAAATGACAAATATTCTGTGATTCCATTTATACGAAATGTTTAGAGTAGGTAAACCAACAGACAGTAGATTAGTAGTAGGTATTGGGTTTCTTTTTTAGGGTAACGGATATGTTCTGTGATTAGATAGTGGTGATTGTTGTACAACATTGTACATAATACTAAAATCTACAGAACTGTATACTTTAAAATGGTTTAAATGTTGAATTTTATGTTTTTGTACTTTCAATTCAATCAATACAAATTTTTAAAAATTTCCAAATAAAAGTGTTGGTTCTATTTGAAGTGGTTTTTCCTATAATTAATAGGGAATACAGTCGTTCATCCTGATTGTGATAAACCGATTAGTAACACTTTTCACTGCCTTGTCATTTACTATTCCCTTTCCCTGAATGAACTTTCTTTCCCCCTTCAAAATGCTCCCTTCAAGATGTAGCTCAAATGCCACTTCCTCCATGAAGTCTTCCCTAGTTTCCAATGTTGGAGCATACTTTTTTCTCCTCTGCATGGCCTTAGCACATGGTCTGCACCACTGGTCTGGTATTTACTGCCTGCTGCTGAGTGTACTAATGGCTGTTGTATGTATTTTTCTCCCATACTAGGTGTAAGTTCTTTTAAGCATAGAGCAAAGTTCATGTATCTCTGCACCAAGGTCTAATGCAATGCTTACGCTCATCATCATTCCTCAAACTAAAGTAATAAAGACAAATTTTCTAGAACCTGTTTCTATTATATACCTCTACACAATTTTACTAAAACAGAACTTCTTTGGAATCCAATGAATTTATACAAAACAACTTGAAGGTTAGACTTTTATTATCCAATCACTAATTAAATCTCTTTCTCTACTTTATTAGATATACTGGAGACTGCAGTCCTCCTAAATCTAGTTCACAGGGACTACAATGTCAACTTTAGCTCACATCAGAATCATTTTAGCCTGTCTAGTAAGTACTTAACAGAATACTAACTAATCTTTATGAAGTACATATTTCAAGTACTTTAACCAAAAAGCCACTAATTAAACAAAATGGAAAGACTATAGTACTGTTATGGACACAATTGTTACAGCTTTTATATTCAATTGTATATGTCCAATACTTGAGGAGAATACAAAATTTTTGGTTTTACTATTACAAGCTACTTTGTGCCTCCTTTGAGAAGTAAAAATCTGTGTACGAAACACAATTTGTGCACTTATTTATTTTCATTACCTCTCGTTCTATGGTCTTCCTCCTTAACAGCTTTTTTACACTTGGGAGCTGCTTCTTTAACAACATGGTGGCTTCATTCATTCTTCTTACTTGAGTGATTAAGAAAGATGGAACCTGGAGAAGAAATATAACTTGACTAGAAGGAAAAGACTTGACTTATGCCTCCCTAGTAAATTCTGTCTTCAGTTATGGTAACATCCTAGTCACTCACTGTCTTGGAACCTAAAAGGTAACATTGGACCTTGTAAAGATTAGAAAAAAACTATTAAGAGATTCTGTTTACAAGGGAGAATGTGTTAACGAGCATAAAGAACCTGTAAAGGTATAACCTGGGATTATCCCCCCATAACCTAGGAATTGCTTGTCCAGGGAGCTTTACATCGCCTGGATGCTGGTGGACGTCCAAGGAGAACTTTAACGATCATCGCATTGTTACTCACCTTCCACAAAATTTTCTGGTACTTCAGCATTAGGCGAATTATGTGTGCTGCGGTGTTTGCTAACAGTAATTCTTCATAATCAGAATGTTTGCTTCTACTGAAGAAGAGGTTTGGTGCCATAACAGTAGAAATGTTCCACATACTCATTCGGTTTTTTGATTCATTGGCAATCACTTTATTGAAGAACGTCATGAGGGCCTAACAAGACACAGCATTATGTCACACTCTTGTAAATTATCAAAACCCATCCACTGTGATTCTGGAAGATTGTCAGAAGTGTAGTGTTGTTAAATGTGTCACATTTCCCCTTTAACTGCTTAAAAGTGCTAATAAGAAATAAAAGTTTATTCAATGGTCTGCTTCATAAAGTGGCTCAATTTTTAGGGGGCTTATACTGAAGTCTCTATAAATACCAGCTTGCATTTTCATATTTTCTTTTATCCTAAAAGAGTTTGATAAATACTAAAAGAGTAAGCCAGGAAAACAAAACACTCCAACGCAAGTAAACGTAAAATGCATTTTATTTTGAAGCAAGAAAAAATTAAAAAAATACTCATTATTTAAAAGTAAACCCCTTTCTGCTTGGAAAGGAAAACCTGCTTAAATAGCATGAGTATCTCATTTCTGAATCAAATATGATCTCAACTGAAAAATTTTTAATTTTTTACTTTTTGGGTGCCATTTTTCTTATGCTTTTCAGTGTTGAAATCTTCAGCTGACCAAAGGGAAATATTTACATGTGGCTGTTCTCAGCTTTCAAAAGACGAAATATTGGAGAAGGATTTAAAAAGAGTTGGGGGAGACAGTGACGCACTAATGTTTATCAGCAGCTCTTAAAATTCCCCAGCAGGACTGAAATTCCAAAAGCGGATGCCTTCCAAGTTTGGCTTCTACTGCAGTAGTTGTAATAGTAAGATGTACAGCACATAACAGTAATAATGTTGCTGTGAGCTGCTGCTCTCCAGTCGGCCTGACTTTCATGGCAATCCCATACACAACAGAACAGAGTACTGACTGGTTGCAGATCGGACAGTTGTGATCTATAAAGTTTTACTGGCTGATTTTTGGAAGCCAACCAGGTTCTTCCTAGTCTGCCTTAATCTGGAAGATCCACTGAAATCTGTCCAGCATCCCAGCAACATGCAAGCTGTACTGACAGATGGGTGGTGGTTATGCATGAGGTGCACTGGTTGGGAATCAAACCGTGTTCTCCTTCACGGAAGGTGAGAAGTCGACCACTGAACCACTAATGCCCCTTAATAGTGATAAGAGTTAACATTTATTGAAGGTTTACTATGAGCCTGGCATTATTCTAAATACTTTACATGTATTAATTCTTTTTAGCATCATTCAAAATCCTGTAACAAAGGTACAATTATAAACTTTATTTTACAGATGAGGAAACTGAGGCACAGAGGAATTTAGAAGACTTGCCTAACATCAGTTAATTAAGTGGTAGAGCCAGGATTTGAACTGTGGAAACCTCATTCTTGAGCCAGAGCTCCTGATCTTGATCACCCCAATTTCAATCTTAGTTCCAGTCACAGTTTAGAATGGAGAAAAAAAAGTGTCTGGGTATGGGTATATCTTCATAAGTCCCACAATGATTTTTGACAATATTCTGTTAGAAATATACTGAGTTCAAAGAGGCGCAGCCAACACGGTGCCCTAGACAGACACATCATGCCGTCCCTCTGCAGCAAAGACCCGAAAAACTAAGCGAAGCAGATACAAACATCAATCCTGGAAGCCTAAGCATGAAATGAAGGGATAAAGAACTAAATCGAACACCACATGGAGGAAGGAACTGAAGGAAAACAGAGAACAAGAGAGAGACAGAGCGGAGGTCCCCTGCCAACTAACACGGCACAGTGTTACCATCTTGGAGCATAGCAAGCAATGACCCCGGACAGGGAGTATGGGGAGACAATGTCTTGGAGCTCCCAACAGGAGACAGAGAACCAGAGAAGCGTGCTTTCCTACCCCTCACCCTTCTTCCTCGTATGCTACCCCCACCCCTTCCTGCCAGGCCACGCTGTGCCACCTTGGTTAGAGAGCCACCGGCCTCATGGTCTGCCCCATCCCCACCCACCAGCTCCTGCTGCACCATTTTTCGCCCTTTGTTCCTTTCTTTCTCCCTCCCACCTAACCCATATACCACCTCTACCTTTTCCTGCCAGGCCATGATGCATCACTTGGCTAGAGAACCACAGGCCTGTCATCACCCTGGGTCCGCCCCAACCCCACCTGCCGGCTCCTGCCACACCATTTTTTCCCCCTTTCCTCCTTTTCTTTCTGCCTCCCATCTAGTCCTGTACCCCACTTCTAGCCCTTCCCACTGGGCCATGGCATGCCACCATGGCTGGAGAGCCACCGGCCAGCTGCCAGCCTGGGTCTGATCCGCCCCATCCGCTGACTCCTGCCACACCGATTTTTCTTCCCTTTTTCTTTCTCCCTCCCATCTAACCCCATACACTACTTCTACCCCTTGCCACTGGGACACGCTGCATCACCGTGGGTAGAGAGCCACCAGCCCGCTGCTATCCCAGGTCCCCCCACCCCCACCCACCAGCTCCCGCCATGCAGTTTTTTCCCCCCTTTCTTCCTTTTCCTTCTTCCTCCCACCTAGTCCTGTATGCTACCTCTACCGCTTCTGGTGGGCCACGCTGCACTGCTGAGGGTAGAGAGCCATTGGCTTGTTGCCATCCCCAGCTCCCACTATGCCATTTTCCCCCTTTCTTTCTTTTCTTTCTCCCTCTCATCTAGCCCCATACACTACCTCTACCCCTTTCTACAGAGCCATGCCAAACTGCCACAGGTAGAGAGCCAATGGCCCACCACCACCTCAGGTCCACCCCACCCACACATGTGAGCTCTCAATGCACCATTTTTTTTCTTTTTCCCCCTTTCTTCCTTTTCTTTCTCCCTCCCACCTAGCCTTGTATGCCACCTCTACATTTCCTACCAGGCCACTCTGCACCACTGTGGTTAGAGTGCCACTGGCCCACCGCCACCTCAGGTCCACCCCACCCACACATGCCAGCTCTCACTGCACCATTTTTTTCTTTTTCCGCCTTTCTTCCTTTTCTTTCTCCCTCCCACCTAGCCTTGTACGCCACCTCTACATTTCCTACCAGCCCACTCTGCACCACTGTGGTTAGAGTGCCACTGGCCCACCGCCACCTCAGGTCCACCCCGCCAACACACATACCATTTTTTCCCATTCTTCCTTTTCTTTCTTCCCCCCGAACTAGCCCCATATGCTACTCCCACTTCCCACTGGCCCTCACTGTGCCACCATGGCTAGAGCATCCATGGCTTGCCGCCAAAACCGACCTGCACTGCCCCTCCCCTCCCGCCATTCGACCAGCTGCTGAACAGCAGGAAGTGAACCCGTACTACTCCCCTTCCACTACCACAGCCTATCTGGTGAGAGCTTGTGAACACTCCCACACTACTGAACCAACATCAGGAGGCAGACAGTGCCAGCCTAGTCCGACATCAGCCACCTTGTTAAAACTAGTATACAGTGAAGTAGGTTCATCCTGCCTGCCCACCCAGAAAAGGTGGTGAGAGCTATCATGCCCACAGATGAGCAAGCAGCAAAGCAAGCCTGGTTCACTTGTCCTGACACATCAAAACATAACAAAAAAGCAGAATGAAACAAATAACATACGATCAATAAATAAATAATACCCTAATGTCTCAGAGACAGCAAACGTTATCAAAACATATGAAAAAGGACAAGATGGCTGCAGCAGTGACAAAAATAGTCAAATGAAGAAGAGGAAAAGGCAGTGGAACTACCTGATATGGAATTCAAAAGACTAATATTTAGGGCTCTCAAAGAGATTAGGAAAGAGATCGAGGAAAACACGGAGAAAACCAGGGAAAAAATGGCCAAAATCATGGAAAACACAAACAAAACCAACGAGAACAGCCAAAATCAAGGGAAACACACACAAATCAATAGAAGAATTAAGAAAATAATACAAGAACAAAACATCAAAATAAATAAACAATTAGAAATCATAAAAAACAGCAACTAGAAATCCAAAAATCAAAAAATTTGAGAAATGGACATCTCAATAGAAGGTTTTAGGTGCAAATTTGAAACAAAAGAAGACAGAATCAGCAAAATTGAAGACAAATCCATGGGTGCTACGATGTTTGAAGAAAAACCAGAGAAAACAATGAAGAATTATTTGGGACACAATCAAGAGCAAAAATTTCCACAAGATCAGAGTTCCAGAGTAGGGGGAGAAGATGGAAAACAGAGAGAAGACTGTTGAAGGTTTGTTGAAAGAACACTACCCAAATATCATGCAAGATGAAAAGCTGATCATCCAAGAAGCTCAACAAACCCCATACAGGATAGAACCCCCCAAAAGTCACTAAAACATACCACAATTACACTTGCCAAAACCAAAGACAAAGAAAGAATCCTGAGAGCAGCTCGAGAAAAATAAAAAGACACTTAGAAAGGCGAAACAATAAGACAAAGCTCTGATTTTTCAGCAAAAACTATGCAAGCAAGAAGGAAAAGGGATGACATACATGAAACCTTAAAAGAAAAAAATGGCAACCAAGAAAAATATATCCTGCAAAACTCTCTCTCAAATACGATGGTGAAATTAGGACATTTCCAGATTAACAGAAATTAAGGGAATTAGTAAAAACCAAGCCAAATGTACAAGAAATATTAAAGGGAGTCCTTTGGTTAGAGAACCAACAACATCAGACAACAACTGGAGTCTAGGACACAAGACAGCATCAGCCAGAAACCAATCTATTTAAAGAACTCTCAAAAATAAAACAAAGTTAAAAGACTTAAAACAGGGAAACAGAGACATCAATCTGTAAATGATGACAACATCAAAATAATAAAAGGAGGAGTAAATGATGGAAGTATAAAACTTTCAAATGGAGTGTAAATCAAGGCGATATGAAATAATAAAAGACAAGTTCAAACTTAGGAAGATTAGGTAAATTTCAAGGTAATCACATCAGAATAAAAAAGAAGAAAAACATAAAGTCTCAGGAAATACAAAATCTATAATAACAAAAGAAAAGAAAACAAAAACAAAAGAAACTCAGCACACGAAAGTAAGAGAAACAAAGAAAATGTCAGTACCCCCCCAAAAAAGAAAGCATAACAATATGACAGCAATAAACTCATGCCTATCGATAATCGCACT